ATATAACCAGCCCCTCAGGATACTCAGTACAATGAAAGACTATTTAACAAAATCCAACCTTCATTAGAGGCAGTTAGGAATTATAAGTAATATGTTTTTTTTTTCTCTTCCCAAAACAGTAGTCCCATTAAGTGTTGTTGGTTTGAACTTGGCTATGTCATTTTTCCTTTTCTCTTCTGATAAATAATAAAAAAGCCATAGAACATGCAACAATCCAAACGCACAGTAGCATTAAATATAGTCTATCATTATCTCCTTCTGGAAACACTCCTCTTACTTAACTTCCAGAATACTTCCTCTCTGGGGATGTCACTAGTTATTCTTTTCTCCTGAGCTCTGAATTTTGCATACCCTAGCACCAAGCCATTGATTCACTTTTATTCATTTTATGCACATGTAGATGTTTGATGGTCTCATTCAATTTCCCAGGCTTAAATACCATTATTAATCTAATGAAGACCAGATATACAACCACCTACTTGACATCTCTACTTGGATATCTAGTAGAAATTAAAATTTAACATATATATATATATATATATATATATATATATATACTCCTGGTTTCAGAACGTATTCCAAATCTGCTGCTTTTCCCATTCATCCAGATTTTTTTCTGGCCCCAGACTAGGAGTCACCTGGGTCTACTCTGCTCCTTTTACTCTACATGTAATTCATGAGCACGCCTGATAGGGCTAATAATTCCTAATATGCCCAGAAGATGAACTGATTGTCCTTTCTCACTGCCACCATTCTAGAACAAGTCACCTTCATCTCTTACTGGACACTTGCAATAGGCTTTGAAATATTTCTCTGTGCCTGTAAAATATTTCTCAGATCACTTTCTAAAAATATAAATTAAATCTTATCATTACTTGGCTCAAGTACTTTTTGTGAAATAAAACCCGAGTTTGCATCATGAATTGATGTGGCCTCTGCCTACCTTTCTGGCCTCTTCCACTCCAGTAACCTGGCCCTTCTCTTTCAAATCACACATCTTTCCCACCCCTGGGCCTTTGCTTTTTACTTATCTTTAAACAACTGTAGCATAAATGGTATCCAGCAGTTTTGCTCACATTGAATTTGCAAGAGTGCCATCATATCACTCTCATCTGCAAAGAACCCTAGGAAATACAACCTCTGCCAAATAAATATAGGCTCAACTTAATCTCTATTCCACAGAAAAAGGGGACAATGGAATTTGGTGGACAGTTAGCAGTCTGATACAATGCTTGGCTCTATCCAACCAACTATTTAGATATAAATTTCTTTCCACAAATAGAACATGCTTGTACTCTTTCCAAGGGAGATATGCTAAACTCTGATCCAATTACTGCATCAAGTTCAAAGTTCAGGATCTCTGGCTGAAGGACAGACCACTTCACCAAATCAATATTTTATCTCCCTCCAGGCCTTCTCCCATAAGTAAATAGTAGCATAGCAGGAACCCGATAACTGCAATATAAACTGCATTTTGGAATAGGAAAACATGGAAAATACAACAGAGAGAATGATCTAGATCAAATGCTGTGCTAGGTATGAGTCCTCCATTTGCCAACTTTGGCATGGAATAGGTCCTTGACTGGGTCATCTGGATGTCCCTGGTTCTAGAAACACCTTCATTCTTTGTGGGCCTCAGTCCTTCCCTTCTGGGAGCTTATTTCTCATCTCTTATACTCCATGGTAACTCATAAGTGAATGTTGGAGAGTTTGCTTTCCTTGAGAATGGCTTTATGTCTCATAATTTTGCTTCTGCAGGCTATGCTGCTCACTAAATTGGTAACATGACCCCTTAAAAACCATAACTGCCATATTTATTTGCTTATAATTGATTGCATGTTCCAGTAACCAAAACCAAATAAATACATTTTTAAATTTTACTGTTAATCATATTTCTTTTCTGACTTCTATGCTGTACCAATCCTTTTCACAACATCTTTCCATAAATTTCCAACCACTTCACCTACATGGACAAATTCAGTGGAAAATTTGACTTGCAAATTATCACATGAAATACTGTCATCAATTGTTTGAGATATGTTCTGAAATTAAAAGTTTTGTTTTAAATATGTTAAATTTCAACTGTTGCTAGATATTAAAGTAAAAATGTCAGCTAGTTCTTATTAGCTTAAAAATGACATTTAAATCCAAGAGACTGAATGAAAGTAACCATCTTTTCGGGCTACTCTATATTTTATCTTTGTTTTATATTACTCTCTTCTCAAACAAATATTCATCTTTTCTGTTTTGGAGATGTCTGTAACCCACTTCTAGCACTATGTCACTATAAAAACTAAGTTGTAGTAATAATAAAGAGATCCCAAAATTCAGTGATTTTATTAAAATAAACATTTATTTCTTTTATACATAATTTAATAGTCACACACAAAACAAACAAACAGTTTATGTTTCTGGGTTAAGCTGCTTCACACAGTCAGCTACCAAAACACTCAGATTTCTTCCATGTTCTTTTTGGGCCACATTTCTGACTCTATTCTTACCTTTATGCCCAAAGCTAGCCTGGGAATACATTTGTGTTCAGCATGAGAAATAGGAATTCAAAGTAGGCAATCTTCTTTTTAATCCTGGTGACAATTTTATATTCTGCTTCTGCTCCTGCCCTGTAGGTGAGAACTTAGCATGACCAGACACTCTCCAGCTTGGTGGACATGTCTACCTGAGGCTACAGACAGGGAAAATGTTCTTTTTCACTTGCTTTGTACTCAAAAAGTCTATCATACTGTTTTGTCATGCTTTATGTGTACCTTTATATGTTTACAAGTTACAAACCAATTAGTACTCTTCTATTATTATTTATAATTTCTCTATTACAAATTAAGTAATCCCCATCTCTTCCCCAACAATTTGTCCACTTATACCTTCCATACAAAATGAAATGTCTAGAATGCTTTTATTCTCCCACTTTCTTCCCTAAACCACTTTACTCACAATTCTGGTATTTTTCTAAAATAGTTCATAAAAATTTAGTTCAAAGTCATTACTTAGTCTTCCCTTAAAAATGTTTCTTCTGGAATCACAGATGCAGAAAAAAGCATTTGACAAAATACAGCACCCTTTTATGTTCAAAACACTAGAAAAACTAAGGATAATAGGAACTTATTTCAACATTGTAAAGCTATTTATGCTAAGCCTAAGGCCAACATCATTCTAAATGAAGAAAAATTGAAAGCATTCCTTCTAGAAACTGGAACAAGACAGGGATGCCCTCTTTTACCACTTCTACTTAACATAGTTGAAACTCTAGCCAGAGCAATTAGACAAATGAAGGAAATTAAATGGATAAAAATAGGAAAAGAAGAACTCAAATTATCACTATTTGCCAACAACATAATGCTATATCTAAAGGATCCAAAAAATTCCACCAGAAAACTTCTAGAACTAATAAATGAATTCAGCAAAGTATCAGGCTTTAAAATCGACACCCATAAATCAAAGGCATTTCTTTACATCAGTGACAAATCCTCTGAAAGATAAACTAGGAAAACTACCCCATTTACAATAGCCTCAAAAAACAAAAATAATTGGGAATCGATGAAAGAAGTGAAAGATTTCTACAATGAAAACTACATAATGCTACAGAAGAAGACCTTAGAACATGGAAAGATCTCCCTTGTTCTTGGATAGGAAGAATTAATATTATCAAAATGACCATACTACCAAAAAAGTATCATACAGATTTAATGCAATTCCAATCAAAATCCCAATGACATTCCTCATAGAAATAGAAAAAGCAATCATGAAATTCATCTGGAAAAATAAGAGACCCAGAATAGCTAAAGAAATCCTTAACCAAGAAGAATGAAGCAGGTGGCTTCACTATATTAGACCCTAAACTATACTACAGAGAATAATAACAAAAAGGCATGGTATTGGTACCAAAACAAACACATAGACCAATGGTACAGAATATGAAACACAGAGACAAACCCACATAAATACAGTTATCTTATAGTAAACAAAGGAGCCATAAATATACATTGGAGAAAAGATAGCCTTTTCAACAAGTGGTGCTGGGAAAACTGGAAATCCATGTGTAGAAAAATGAAATTAAATCCATACATCTCACCCTGCTCAACTCAAAGTGGATCAAGACCCTGTGCCTACTAGAAGAAAAAGTAGGCCTAATCTCCATCGTGTCAACTTGAGAACCAAATTGCTTAACACGACTCCTATAGCGCAAGAAATAAAATCAAGAATCAATAAATGGGATGGACTCAAACTACAGAGCTTCTTCTCAGCAAAAGAAACAACCAGTGAGGTAAAGAGAGAGCTTACAGAATGGGAGCAAATTTTTACCAGGCACACATCAGATAGAGCACGAATTTCTAGGCTATATAAAGAACTCAAAAATCTTAACATCACCAAAAAAACAAATAAGCCAATCAATAAATGGGCCAAGGAACTGAAATAAGATGATATACAATGGATCAACAAATATATGAAAAAAAAATGTTTAACATCTTTAGCAATTAGAGAAATGAAAATCAAAACTTCTCTAAGATTTCATCTCACTCCAGTCAAAATGGCAGATTAAATATATATAGTTTTATATATATATATTTACTTTACAAATAGAAAAAATTACATAACCACTAACATTTTACTAACATATGACAGTGAGTTTTTTTCTTTAAACAATTTTGAGTGACACTTTACATGCCATTCTAAAACAGTCCTTAAATTGTTTTCTTCTACTCTGTTATTGTTTGTGCTTTGTTTGTCCTTTTCTTTCTTTCTTTCTTCTTTCTTTCTTTCTTTCAGATGTCTTTAATACATACATTGTATCTTCTAAATCTACTTGCTACATTCCTCATTATTTTTCGTCACCTTTGTCTTTTTCTGGTGCTGAAATTTTTAGACTCTGCTTCTATATCTCTGTTAACATTTTCCAAGACCTAATCTGCTATTTCACCTTCATTTCTATCTCTTGTGCTAATGCATTTTTTTCTCCCCTAAAACAGAAACCCACTCATACTTACTTACTTACTCTGTGTACTCCTGACAACATTATTTTTCCTTCCACAGATAAAGTGTTTTCCGTCAATTTTATATCCTATTTGCTTTCAAATGCTGAGGAGAAAAGATTTATTATAAGAAGGTAAATAAAAATCACCATCTTCCACAGTTATATTAAAACAAATGGTTATCCGTGCTACTCCTAGACTTAGGTAGACTTGGGTTCTGATTTTTACTACTATGTAAATCTCAGCAAATTTCTTAGCTCAGACTGTGGTTTTCTTTTCAGTAAATACACATGGTTATCTTGAGGAATATGTGTATTGCAAAACACTGTTCCTGGCATGTAAGGAGACTGTGACAGCATTTCATTTATAATGAGTGACAATTGATTACAGTACCACGAGGCAGGTCATATTACACTGGAGTAATAGAAATAAAGGTGTAAGATGTCAAATGTGTACCAGAGGCAGTAAACAACCTCTAGTAGACCAGAGGTGACCAGCTTCCTGTTAACTCAGCTGTGTCTCAGCCACTTCTTTGCTTTGTTTACAATAGGAGCTATTTATTGGTTTGTTTGGCCAGTCACTGCGTGTGAGACTTTAGGATCACACTTTATAAGCATAAAGCAAATCTTCCTTTTAAAGACTTCCTGCAGCAAAACCAACCAATATTATGCAATCTCCATAAGGTTAAAAAAAAGTGAAAGTTAGAAATGTATAAAAACTAACAGTGCTGGGCTGGGTTTGTGGCTCAGTGGTAGAGCGCTTGCCTACCATGAGCGAGGCACTGGGTTTGATTCTCAGCACCACATAAAAATAAATAAAGGTCCATTGATAATTTTTAAAAAAAGATTTAATAAAAAACACAGCGCTAATAATAATAATGATATTAAGAAGAAGAGAAGGAAGAAGAGGGGAAAAATATTTTAAATCAAGTCTTAACAAAAAGCTACATGTCTTGAGAGAAAAAAAAAAAAAAACTACCTGAAGGTTTAATTCACTTGCCAACATGAAACACTACTATGCTGAGAATCAAATTACTCTTGCAGTGTAGTCCATCATGAAAAGCAATGTATTACTCACAAAATTATATACTTTTTTATTATGGTGAAATTATTTTTGTAAGTTTTTTTTATTGGTTGTTCAAAACATTACAAAGCTCTTGACATATCATATTTCATACATTAGATTCAAGTGGGTTATGAACTCCCATTTTTACCCCAAATACAGATTGCAGAATCACATCAGTTACACATCCACATTTTCACATAATGCCATATTAGTAACTGTTGTATTCTGCTACCTTTCCTATCCTCTAGTATCCCCCTCCCCTCCCCTCCCCTCTTCTCTCTCTACCCCATCTACTGTAATTCATTTCTCTCCTTGTTTTTTTTCCCCATTCCCCTCACAACCTCTTATATGTAATTTTGTATAACAATGAGGGTCTCCTTCCATTTCCATGCAATTTCCCTTTTCTCTCCCTTTCCCTCCCACCTCTCATCCCTGTTTAATGTTAATCTTCTTCTCATGCTCTTCCTCCCTGCTCTGTTCTTAGTTGCTCTCATTATATCAAAGAAGACATTTGGCATTTGTTTTTTAGGGATTGGCTAGCTTCACTTAGCATAATCTGCTCTGATGCCATCCATTTCCCTGCAAATTCCATGATTTTGTCATTTTTTAGTGCTGCGTAATACTCCATTGTGTATAAATGCCATATTTTTTTCATCCATTCATCTATTGAAGGGCATCTGGGTTGGTTCCACAATCTAGCTATTGTGAATTGTGCTGCTATGAACATCGATGTGGCAGTATCCCTGTAGTACGCTTTTTTAAGGTCTTCAGGGAATAGTCCAAGAAGGGCAATAGCTGGGTCAAATGGTGGTTCCATTCCCAGCTTTCCCAGGAATCTCCATACTGCTTTGCAAATTGGCCACACCAATTTGCAGTCCCACCAGCAATGTACAAGAGTACCCTTTTCCCCACATCCTTGCCAGCACTTGTTGTTGTTTGACTTCCTAATGGCTGCCAATCTTACTGGAGTGAGATGGTATCTTAGGGTGGTTTTGATTTGCATTTCTCTGACTGCTAGAGATGGTGAGCATTTTTCCATGTACTTGTTGATTGACTGTATGTCCTGCTCTGAGAAGTGTCTGTTCCGGTCCTTGGCCCATTTGTTGATTGGGTTATTTGTTATCTTATTGTTTAATTTTTTGAGTTCTTTGTATACTCTGGATATTAGGGCTCTATGTGAAGTATGAGGAGTAAAAATTTGTTCCCATGATGTAGACTCCCTATTTACCTCTCTTATGGTGAAATTATTGCCAACTTTATTTGTTTACTTACTTACTCACATTTTTGTTCGTACATTGACCCCACACTGCAATGTCTAACTATGACACTTGGGCATAAATTCACATAAACATATATGAATTCATATGTCTGTTAATATATCTCAGAATTAGTATCCAGGTAGCCTCCTGTTTCGACTAAAATGGATTAAGATTGCAACAAGTCTCCCTTTCAGCAATGAAAGGTGGTCTTTTCTGCTCAATGAATCATCCCTAAGAGAGACGTGCCAGAATTACATGAATAGCTGCAAATGATACAGGCTCTGTATTGTTTTTCTGAGAAAAGAAAAAGCAACCTAGTTGGTTAGTTAAAGAAGTTTTTGGATGAGGTGAGACATTCAATTGTAAAATGAATGTAAATTTCTTTAAAGTATGTTTAATAGGATATTCTAATTACATATATAATCTCATTCTGGTGAGAATGCTAATATTTGACAGAATACTAAGTCTGGAGAGAATAACAAACTTAGGAAATGTCATGTTTATAAGTAAAGATGTTTTAAAAATTAAGGAAAAGAAAACTTTTTTTTTTTGGTACTGGAGATTGAGCCCAGGGATGCTTAACTATTGAGCCACTGCATCCCTAACCTTTTTTTATGTTATTTTTTTAGAGACAGAATCTCACTAAGTGGCTCAGGGCCTAGATACATTTTTGAGGCTGGTTTCCAACCCACAATCTTCCTTCCTCAGCCTCCCATGCCACTGGGATTACAGGCGTGCACCATCAAAAGAAAACATTTTTTTTTTAAGTTTTAAAACTAGTAATTTCAAAAGACACTTAATTTTAAAAGTTTTCACTACATTTTTATTTAACAATTACCTCTATCATAGTCTTCACTTAAAATAACTGACAAAAAGATCAATAAGGAAGCAAAAGTTATCTGAATTATTAAAGGGGCATCACAAAGTAAATTAATTTAAAGCTCATGCAAGTTTACCTCAAAGGCCCCCTTTTTTTTCCTCCCTCAGAAATTGTTTACTTTTATTTTGCAGACTTTTAAGTAAGTTTTATCAATTCCCTCTCAAATCCAGTGATGATTAAAATGGCCAAGTAGATCAGGGAGTTCAATACACTGCATATCAATAGAGCAATGATTATTCATAATATTGATCCTGAGTTATTAACAAAAGAGAAATGGTGTTAGGAAGATGAAGAGAATGCAATGTATCCTTTTCAAAATTTTCATACATTATTTTGCATTTTAATGTCTCATTTTTATGTGAAAATTGAGCCCAACTAAAAACCGCTCCTTTGATATGCTATATCCTTGTATGTTAAATAATTCCCTGTTGCAAGTATATAAATGAAAAACAAAAACAAAACTCTTTCCCACTATGTTTATACATTAAGTTAAGAAACTAAAAGCTAGACTATTAGCCTATGGATCTAAGGTTGTATAATTAAACCATATATATTAAAATGTACAATTAGTGAAGTGTTTAACAATAGACATTAGGCATTAGGATTATCTCATTGACACCAATGGAGGTCATTTTAGTCCACTGTTGTTTCCACAAGGTGCTATGAGCCTACTTAATCCCCATTCCCACCATAAAAAAAAAAAAAAAAAAAAACACTGGAGATTAGAAAAGAGAACAAAGTTCCTCTGTAAACTGCCTGCCTCCACCCACAATCCCTTAAGCCAATTTATAAGAGCCAGAGAAGGAATAACATGAAAAACTTATGCACTTCAGGTCTGTGTTTATCATACTTGAGCATGAATCAGAATTGTCTACAGAGTATATTAAAATATACCTTGCTGAGCCACATTTCCAGAGTTTCTGATTTTATGTCTGAGGAAACTGTACCCTGAGCAGGGAAGCCCTGCATGGCACCAGTTAAGTAACAGAGGCTTCCTGAGCCTGGGTGCAATGTTCCAAAGCCATATATACCCTGGGATGATATGTAGAGGACACAGGAAGACAGCCTACTCATCTTCTCCAACTAGCATCTGGGTGGATTGTCAGGGCCCAGATCACATGGGTTGCTGAATAGCTCCTACACCACTTCTGTGCTTCCCTCTGAATAATTCAAAGAGATAGCCTTTGGAGCATCCTGGGAAAGAAATAAAAATTAGCTTTTAGAAAGACAGCAGGCCTGCAGATTCTTTTGGCAAAATTGGGTAAGAATTTACGACACACAGATTGACTGATAAAAATTCAACACGAATAAAAAGTCTCTTCCCAAAGTAGATTCAACTCTTCCAAAATGAATCTGTGGTGTTAGTAAAAGTAATATTGTTGATATAATGAGTCCTCTAGGCCTAGCTTCCTACCAAATGGCTATCTTTTAGCGTAAAGCTGTTCTGTATTGCTTTTGTGGAAAGAGGAGAGGCCTGGGGAAAAAACAAGAGTTGTTGTCTCTGTTGAAGTCAGTCTACACAACTTTGCTGAAAATGTGCAGCCCATCCCCTGGACACCAAGCCACCTCAAACGTTTCCCTTCAATCCATATGACACCTAGAAAGAAGATAAATGACCGTGAGGAGAGGAGACTATCCCCTAATGTGATGAAACTTGTGTGATTAAAACTTGCAATGACTCAGAAATTGTGGAATTTAAACATGTATACCAGAAAGTGGGCTAGATAGAGTTTGTTCTGCTCTCACATGAATATGTATTCAAGATTATAATTTTAAGAATATGCTCTCTCATTTTTGTGTGCCTGACTCTGCCCTGTGTTTATATACTTTTGGTTTCATCTGGATATGGCAGGAAAACAATATGATGAGCACTCTGACAGCATTTTCCAGGAAAGGCTAAATTAAAAAGAAACGGGGGCTTAAATTCTGGCAAGGGGCATATAAAGGAAGAGACTGATGTAAGGTACCCCTCAGTAAGCCTTGGAAAGGCAGAAGGAAAGAGGAAGATGCTTAAAATGATTTTAACTTCCATCTAGGACAGAAGGAAGAAGTGTGGGGTCACTGAGTCTTTCACAGGGACCAAGATGGCTGTCGGGCCTTATCCTACCTAGCACAGTGGTTAT